CAATTTTTGAGTTTTATCGCAGAACCCACGTTCATATGCAGCAACGATGTCTGGAGCAGTCGGTAGGAGTTCTTTCCTACTAAACCATTTGGCTTCAGATGGAGGCTGGGACTTAAACTTTACCTTATACCGCTTCTCAGGCCTTCCTCTGCCACATGTAGAAAAATAGTCATGTTCCAGTATTTTTTCAACCTTATATCCTCCATTCATAGAGGGTGGAAACATGGATGGCCTGTTAGGAAAGTTATCACCTTTTACATAGGGTAGCAGCTTAGACGCATGGAAGACAGGGTATTTCGTTAGGTGTGGAGGTACATCAATGCAGTAGAAAGGTTCGTCTACATCTCCAATCACCTTAAGAACTTCCCAGGGGCCATAGTAGACAGATAGCAGTTTCTGAGATACATTTTCTTCTAAGGAAAACTCCTACGTAGCACACTGAACGTGTTCGGAAGTCTTCCGAACGTCCGAACACGTTCGGCCATTCGCCCGAACGGGACGCAAACGCGTTCGCACGAACGACTTTTGGAGGGCTGCGAACGCGTTCGCCCAACGGGCGTTACCGGCCCTCTGAGGGTCTGGGGGGTCCTTGGGGCCGTAGGGGGGTGTTTGGGGGGCAGGGTTGGGCGGGCGGCCTGACGGGAAGGGGCACTCGGGTCCCCCGTTCGAATTCGAACGAACAATCGGGCTGCCCCGCCGCTTGTCCCCGCGCAAAGTTCTCCAGCGGAGCATTGAACCCCCGGGTAGGTGTGCCTCCTCCTCCTCCTCCTCCTCCTCCTTCTCCTCCTCCTCCGCCATATCTTCTTCTTTTTCTTCTTCTTCTTCTTTTTCGTTTTTTAACTTTTTCTCTCTTTCTTTTCTAACTTTTATAAGGTTTTTCAACTTTCTTCTTCTTTGAATCTTCTTTTTCTTCTTCTCCTGCTTCTTCTCTGTCTTCTACTTCTTCTTCTTCTACCTCCTCCTCCTCTTCTTCTTCTTCTTCATCTTCGTCGTCGTCGTCATCATCGTCGTCGTCGCCCTCTCGTCCTCCTCCTCCTCCTCCTCATTCTCCGCCTCCTCCTCTTCTACCTCTTCCTTTTTTTTTTTTTT